AGGAATTCTATACTTATTATAATTAAGAATATACTAGATTTCTAATTTGTCTTATTTATTCCTAGAAATATTAATATTTATATTCTTAGCTAAGCTATTTCTTTATTTATTATTTCTTAAAATAGTATTCTTCTAGCCTCTTATATAGAATAGCTTTTTTTCTATTCTGGCTTATTTTCGGAAAATTTCTTTAGCTATTTCTATTTCTTTTCCTTTTCTTTTTAATAAGAAACTTATTATAATATTAATAAAAATACTATTTATAGCCAAATCTTAGTATTATTTATTAATTTCAGAACCTGAAATATTAGTAATTCTAATATAATTTCCTTTAAGATAAAGCAGCTATTTAAATTCTCTAGATATAACTTATTTATTTCTATATATAGATTCCGGCTAGCTAGTTCCCTTTTCTTTTTCTTATCTAATAAACTAGGTATTCTTTATTAATTTCTAAATATTTTTAGATTAAGTATTTAAATTATAATTAAATTTTCTCTTTCGGATTTGGGAAATAATTTAGTTAAACTACTAGTATTTACTAGTAAAAAAAAAGAAAATACTTTCTTATCTAGATTTAAATAATTCTTTATATTATTTTTTATTAAATTAGTAAATATATTTATAATTTATAAGCTCTTTTATTAATAGGTAATAAAATTAAAAAATATAAATATATTCTAAATTAATACTATTATTTTTATTTTTATTATAATATTTATAGCAAATTTATTCTCTCGGTTTTAGGTTTATATTATAGGCTATATTAATTTAAGTAATATTTTCTAATTATATTTAAAACCAACTTTCTCTAAAATATAGTTATTTAAACTTTTTATTTATTCTAGCTTAATTACTATAGCTATTATAGTATTTCCTATAACTTTTACTATAACTTCTAGTATTTTTTTTCTAAAGACTCGAATTATATCTATTAGGCTATTAATACTATTATATTTATTATAGTTAGCTAGATTATATAAATAGACTATAAATATTCTCTCGAATTATAATAGTAATTATATTAAGTTATTTTTATAAGTTCTTTTATGTTATAATAGTAATAAATAGTTTTTCTAGACTTTTTATTAGCTTATTAATATTATTTCTCTTATATTTACTATTTTTAATAGGTTTTATATAATTAGCTATAAGCTAGGTTCTTTTCTTATTTATATCTATAATAGCTTTAGGAAATATAATAGAAGGAATTAGTAAAAAGTAATTATTTTCTGGCTTGGGAATTATATTATAAACTATTATATTTAAATATTCTTATCTAAATCTAGATATATCTAGGTTATTAGTAATATTAAAATAGTATTTCTTCTTTTTATATTAATAGAATATTACTACTTTCTTATATATCTTATTATATTTATAAATAGAAATATTTATAGATTTAAAGTTTATATTCTTAAAAATATAATCTCTTATTAGAATAGATAATTCCTTTATAAATTCTCGATACTAAATTATTTTATTTTATTTTTTTCTTTTTAATATTCTATTAAATATATTAATATAAGACTTAGAAAAGATTTCTCTATTTTGGACTTATATAATAATCTAATTAAAAAAGTTATAGCTAATTTTAAATATTTCCTAGTTATATTCTCGGAATTTCTTTAATAAGGTCTTAAAAAACTTGGTTTCCTAATAATCTTTTAAGTTATTAGTATAGTATTCTAGTATAGCCTTAATCTAATTCTTATAAATAAGAGAAATATAACAGATAATTATTTCTCTCTTAATATTATTAGAAATATAATAGTTCTTATATATATTTATATATTATTTCAAAAATATAAAAAATATTACTTTTCTGAAACTATAATATTTTAAGAGCTTTTATAAATAGCAGGTTTAAATCTAATACTAGTATATATTTATTCTCGGCTATATTAATCTTAATAATTTCCTCTATAATTAATTATAGAGTTTCTATATCTGAGATTTCTACTAATAAGGTTCTTAAAAAGTTAATTTCTTATTTAAATATATCTTTTAGTTTAAAAACCGGAATTTGAAAGAAACCGGTTAATAATAATAAATATGGTCGAGATTCGAGTTTTAATATTAGTAATAATAAAGTAATAGCTTTTCTAGTTTTATTTCTATTATTTATATTTTTTCTTTTATTTTATTAGCTTAATATCTATAATATTTTTTCTTAATTTTACTAAACTAGATATATCTAATAATATTATTAAAGATAATAATAAATATAATTTTATTAATTTTACTAATTTTTCTGACTTTTCTAAATTCTCTTTCTTTTTTTTATTTAGTATTCTTTTCTTTTTCTAGAAGCTTTTCTAGATTATTTATATAATTTCTTATTTCTAATTTCTTTTTAATTCTTATTTCCGATTTCTATTTACTATTTTATTTGAAATTAAGGATATTTCCTCTTTTAAATATCTTTTCCGGATTTAGGAATAAGCTTTTTTACTAAAACTAATATTACTTTTATTCTAATTTTTATTATAACTAAAAATAATATATAAATTAATAATATAACTTTATTTCCGAATAGTAAAATCTGTTTTTAATTAAGGTCTAACTTATACTATCTTAGTATAATATTTCTTATTTTATTTCCTTTATTTCTTTTTCTTTTATAATTAGCCTCTATTTCCTTTACTTTTATATATTATACTAATAATTATATCTTATAACTAACCTGTATTCAAGTTACTAGATATATTAGAAATTAATATAAGATACTAAAATTAATATTTATATATTCTTAATATTTTGACCTTAAGCTTAAAGTATTATAATAGCTCTTTTTTCTCCTAATTTACTAAGCTAATAATCTGCCTTATAAATACTTCTTAGAACTTTATAAAAGTATTACCTTAATTATAAAGTTTTTATTATTCCTATATTACTTATTATAAAATATATAAAAGAGAAATTATAATAAAACAAAAACCTATATAAAGTATACTAGAATATAAAATATAAATTAATAGTAAAATAATAAATTAAAAATATAAATAGTAAAGTATAAATAATATATAATATATAAAAGTTCAATTAATTAAATACTAAAAAGAAATTATTTTCTAGAATTATAAAAAAACTAGCTTTTTTATATAATTTCTGCAAGTTATATATAAAAGGCTATAGCTTTTACTATATAATTAAAACCTTAAAACCGCTAAAATAATACGATTTTTAGAGAATATAGCTTGCTATATTATACTATACTTTTAAAATAAGAAATATAATATATAACTTTTATTATATTAGTAGCCTAGGTAATTCTACTATTTTTATATTACTTTAACTCTATCTAGTAAAAGAAGTCCTGGGTTTCTTTAATACTCTTTTTCTGGTAAATAGATCGTTTTCGGGTTTTTAGAGCCCTTTAAACTAAGAATACTACCAGAAATATAACGGATTCTATATTAGGTATCTAAATATCTTTAAAATAACGAATCTAAGCTTCTAGCTTTTCTAGATCCTCTCTCTATTATATTTCTACTTCTAACTTAATAATATAATAGCAAGCTACTACTAATTTCTCTATTATTATTATCTTACTAGCTAGTTCTAGAGATATTTGAGTTCTGCTTTCTTTTCCTAATTAGGTAATATAAAGAGTACCTAACTAGGCACTTTCCTAGATATCTGGCTAAATTACTCTAGTAATAGTAGAGGCACTTTTTCTAGTTAATACTCTGGTTATTAATTAGTTTTATTTATTAAAAGCTTAATTATTTTATAATAAACTATTTCCTAAAAGTTAGATTAATTAGAATATAAGGTATATAATAGTAAAGTAATATATAAGTAGTTAAGATAAGTAAACTATAGAATAATACTTATAAGTATAACTAATTCCAAGAATTAATTCTAATAAAAAACTAATTAATACTCTTTTCTAAAGCTAGAAGTATTTCTTTATATATTCCCTAATATTTTGCTAAACCTATAAAGTACTTTATTTAACTAGGAAATGCAATTCTATATAATTCATATAATTCCGATTATAAGCTTTATTTAAAATAGGAAACTAGATCTATAATATCTAATACCTATTTATATATTATTATATATATCTATTATATTATATATATCTATTATATTATATATATCTATTATATTATATATATCTATTATATTATATATATCTATTATATTATATATATCTATTATATTATTATATATCTATTATATTATATATATCTATATATATTATATATATCTATTATATTATATATATCTATTATATTATATATATCTATTATAATTATATATATCTATTATATTATATATATCTATTATATATATATATCTATTATATTATATATATCTATTATATTATATATATCTATTATATTATAATATATCTTATTTATTATATATATCTATTATATTATATATATCTATTATATTATATATATCTATTATATTATATATATCTATTATATTATATATATCTATTATATTATATATATAATAATTCTGGCTTTTTTTTCTTTAAAGAATTATCTTCTTTTATTATCTTTTTTATATATTTAGTCCAGAGTTAGAATTTATATATTTTATTACTCTTGTCCCTATTATATTAAGCTTATATAAATAATTATAAACTTCTTTTAATATAATATTATTTATTTATTTTAATTAATATATTATAATAATATAAATCCTAAATAGAAGCGAGTTAAGTATTAATAGCCTTAATTAGAATACGAATTATATAGTTTATTAGTCGCGTTTAGGTAGAATTAATGGTTTATAATAAAATTAGGTGTTTTTAGTAGGGAAAAAGTAGTTTTCGCTAAAAGTCAGAAAATAAGCGCAAAACAAGCCGATCCCGCATACCACTGTAAGGCGAGCTAGCGAGGTTGGGTCGGATTATGAGGCGAACGTGAACTAGCGAGGTTATTCATGTGATCAGGTAGTCAGCTTAAGAATAAACCTAAGACTGATTTAAAATCGGCTTCGCTCGAAAATTTTGGTCCTCGTCTGCTAAAAGAATCATGTCGGCTGAGAGAGGTGAAACGCTTCCGCTAATACTTTCAACTTCATCTTCTCAGTTTCCCCAACAAGGCCAGGTCGATTGGTCCAATCTTAGTAAGAATACCGTGGAATTCACAGTCGATGTGCTTTCTCGCCTCTCCAAAGCGGGAATAGAAGCTTTAACAGTATATGCTACAAAAGTTCTCTTTTCTCATGCAAAACTCGATCAACTGGGCGAACAGCGCATTCTGGACGCTCTCAAAGCTGTGAAGGCCTTCTCATCGCATAGCAATGTCGTATGGTTTGGTTTCGGCATCAAGAACATCTTACGAAGCCTCTCCGAGACACAACAAGGCATTGCATGTATAGGGATTTGCTCTTGCCTGACTGAAGAGTTTTCGACCGAGAAATCTGCTCAGATTTTAGGCGAACTTTTTCAACTTTACAACCCTCCGGCAGATCTTCGACCCTCTCTGCGACAATGGCATGCTATTGTTAGCTCCTGCGAAGGTGTGGTGACGACGACAAACTTTGGTTTCGTTCTTTCTGGGCTTGCTCGGATATGCTTACTCGACGGACATAACGGCCTTTACACAAGCTCAAAACCGAAGGATCTCGCTCATGTACTCAAAGGCCTGTTTGACGTTTCCAACGGCACTCTTGATAAGATACATATATCAGGAGGTAGCGACTGTGCTTGGATTGCAGCAGTGGGCCATTGGCTTTTTGGTCTGCAAGTTGTCGTAGAGGATGCATCTGGGAATATTATCTATCGGCCTGGAGGTATCCGATCCGCAACACGACATGATCCTCAAGTTGTATTATCCTACTCCACTGTAGGACCCCAAAGCCCAGGAACCTCAGCAATTACCCAGAAGAGTTATTCTCTTAGTTCGGGTCGCTTCCTGGTGGATATGGTTCTTGGAAGCCTCCCAGAAGGTGACCTCCTGTCTCATGGCAGACTCGACTGGTCAACATGCCTCCTCGACGCTTTTGGCCAGAGCATGAAGTCACTTTTGACTTCTTTTGCACCACAAACGGCAAAGTGTCTTGGTTCTGCCGCACGTATATATGAATCCCGTATTTGTGATTTCGACGAGGAGCTTAATGAGGAGCTCAATGAGGGGTGTAGTGTCCGTCGACTGGTCTGTACTCCTGGCAGTTTTGGTCGCGGGTTTTGGATTCATGCTCGCCAACAATTTCCCGAACTACGCAATGCCCCAGGTCTAATAAAGACCATGGAGCGACATCAAGAACAATCTCTAGATCTCGCTATTCAGAGTTTCTTAGAGTCAATCAACTCTTTAGCTACGATATGTCGGTGCCAAGATTGTAAGAATGACTCAGCCGGGAAGGGCTTGTCTTCAGACGAATCGACTACTCGGCAAAAGCCCTTGTGTTTAGTACGGCTCATTTACGTACTCTGTTCACTTATTCAGCTTTCATCGCAAATAATTTTCCAAAAAGATCTGGTTGTCTGTCCAACTCTTAATGGGATGAATAGATTATACATGATGACCCGACCAACCATGCCTAGTACAGAAGACTTCGGAAATACTACACAAATTTCATGGCTTGCATTGCTTAGCATCCCATTCCAATTTACAGATTTGCATACTATGGGGTTGTTATTCAATGGCAGGGTGGACTTTGACCCCCTGGACTTCGCTCAAAAGCACACTTGCGCGTCTGCGGCGGACGGGGTCTGCATTTATTTAAACTCCGTCTGCGAGATCTCGAGCGACCCACAACGTGCCTGCTTGATCCACATTGTACCAGGACGGATCGAATGGAATAACTTTTCCTACCACCGAGTGGTAGGCTCTATTAAAGGTCCTCATCGCCACGAATCCTCAGCTATGACAAGGTGGCCATGTACAGGCGCAACGTCAATAACAACCTACGATAAGCTAAAGGACACATCGTCACAGAACTTAGAGGCCTGCTTGATAGTAGTAGAAGAATCGATATCAACGAACACTATTCTGGCCAAATGGAGAATCTCATCTCCTAGCGGCTTTTGGGTGCTTGATCCAGCTGAAATCCATCTCCGATTACAGGCCGCATTCTGCGGTAAGATCTGCGATGACAAAGGTTGTGGTTCTCTAAAAGGATTGAAAAGTACTCTAGTCGAAGGAGATGGGTTTCTGAATGGTGAGGCTCTCGGTATAGATGGCACATCTTTCATGTACGGTCCTCTTGTGCGTGTATTCCCTGGAAATCCACTAGCAGTCTGGTTAGCGCTCTCGCAGGGCACTTTCACTTGCAATGATAATATCATTGTTCATCAAGAAGCGTTACTACAAGGGAAGCAATGCATACGATGCTGTATTATAAATACCATGAAGCGTTCTCATGTGGATGACGATGAAGCGGCGGAACTGAACATTTCTTTGGCTGGGGTTAGTATAATTACAAACCCCTCATTTGCAAGCTAATTTAAATATTTCATTATTGGTATTAATAAACGATTCTCTAGTTTGTTTTGAAACATTCAATCTGTGGCTGATTTTAAAAAAAGAATTGCATAAATATGTGTAAACTAGAGAGCTCAAATGGGACCACGTAGAGACAAGACAACGATGATATAGCTAGGCCTCAAGAGATCCCAAAGGCCCGTGTCCCCCTTGTACTAAAATAGTTCTTCCTCGGCGTCACTTACATTCGACTGAAGCTAGCTCACTCATAGTAGAGACTAAAGCAGCAGCAGCTCAAGTCTAGAATCGGAAATGGAAAATGTCATGAAAACATTCCAGTATGATACTAACTATAACTACATGGGATTTGGGGTTAATCTTTCGACCTAGTAGCGAGCGTCGACCCATATTACGATACGACTTCCTCTTTCCCCAAGCCAAGAAAGCTATAGTAGCGTCTTCAGCCGTTGCGACGATCGTCGATCGAGCGCGCTAGAGGCCAGGTTCAAACGCTTGACAATGCGACCAACTTCCCATCGTATGCTAAAGTTTACCATTGTTGCACGACAGATGATCTCCCGAGCCCGAACTCAACAGGGGTTGAAATACAGTCGTTCCGATTAGGTTGCGGGGTTTGCAGGTCGTCCGATGTTTTCTACTCGGAAAGATAATGCTATCATTGACGCTAAGCATGTTTATGCATGAGAATAGCACATGCTTATAAAAGATAAGCAAGATTTTCACATACGGGAAATAGACTACCGGCATAAATGTAATCATACAAGGGTTGCATCGCTCCTCGATGACTCGCGGACTATTACGTGCAGTTCTCGGCCACATGAGATATGTAGTAGGTTTAGGTCACCGCAAGTCAATCGCAACTATTAACCAATCGCTAGTACATGCGACCCTATTTCACACGCTACTTTCTAGCTTCGCGATCCCCGCGATTCCCGAGCTGCCGTTCCCAGATGTAGTGTGCGGTGTGCCTTGCCTTGCCTTGCCCTGAGCGAGTTCCACGAATGAACGCCTCCCTTTGCTATCATAAAAAGCTTTAACTAGACGTAGAGATAGAAGTCTAACGCTTAGTCCACGCACTCCAATTGGCAGTGCAGAGAGCTACATTTTTGTACGCTACTTTCGGCATTCGCGGTACCTGAGATCGGGCAGGTTTCGGTTCCTAGATGTGGCGTTGCGGGGTACATTCCCCGGTCCACGAATAAACGCCTGTGCTTGGACGATAAAACGCGGTGATTATGATCTAAAAATGGCTCGGGGGAGTCTCGGTCGTAAGGGAGCCAAAATGGGAGACAAAATGAGGAAAGTGTAACCGAGCATTAAGGGAGCCGGAACAAGTCCCTGTGGGAGCTACTGTAAAATGGCCCCTTAGCGCATGCTCAGGCTGACTCTGCCGTGTGCTCAGGTTGCTTAGGCCGAGCTCAGGAATGCTCACCCTCGCCTCAGGTTAAGGCGGCAGCTACTCACGTCCAAATACTAAAATAGAATCAGCGAAAAAAAAAAGTTGAGTATGACTTTACTGGGAGTCTAGGGTATTACCTGAGACTGTGGAATTAACGAGGAGCTTGATTATAAATCCGGCCATCCCCCCATTGTAACAACTCTTGAACACCTTACAAAAGAGCTACCAAGGGTTGTGTAAAGGAAGTACAAGAATATATGTATTAAGACATTTACAAGGGCACTCCAAAGAGGACTTCCAAGAGACCAATATATGAGACCAAGGGAAGACTAAGACAAAGTAATCAATTACATTACTATGACAATCCAGAAGGCAATTGATGACACAGTACCCACGGTAGTTACATGCGCTGGGTCAATACCTGGCTTCACAGAGTATAGGAACGCAATAGACAAGGTCAAATAGGCGTAGAGACGATGGAGGTCTAGGCCTACAGAATTCAACTGTACGAACCGCAACAGGCCAAACACATTAGAGCAACGGTAATGTCGCAGGCAAACAGAGATACACATGGAGAAAGAGTATCACAGGTCACAGAACAGAGAGTTTATATGGTGCTAGTAAAATGGGCCAGAAACAGAGGCAACCATAGGACTGCATTCACAGCTAACCTAAAGCATAAGCAAGACACACTGCTTTCAGAGATGTCTAAGAAGTTGGGGGTATTGCAACAAACGTTCTTTCCCAAAGTACCAAAGACCGACCTCTGTAACTCTTGAAGCTATATATACGTTCCGGCCAGAGGGACCGGGTTCCGATCACCAAACATGAAGTACGCACAGCAATTCAGACTGCACCACCAGACAAAGCACCATGGGAAGACCAGATTCCAAACTAATACTCAAGGCTACACTGGAACTACTCGTTCCAGCCCTCACCACCGTTTTCATACCCCCGTTTCCCTTTAAGCAATCGAACACAGTCGCGCTATGGAAACTAGGAAGAGTGGCTACACTGAACTCAAGTTAGATAAGCCTGTGGTACTAATGAACACACTAGGCAAGATCATGGACACTCTACTGGCTAGATGGATTCAGCATATCACTGAAACATGCGAGCTACCCCCCACATACACAGATAGTGGGGGGAGGAAGAACCTGCCATGGGTACACAAAGTGTAAAGAAGGAAGGACGTTGCAAGCTTACCCATGTTAGACATATCTGGAGCATTTGACAATGAATCACATGCAAGACTCCTCCACAATGTCCAGACATGTAGACTACCACTAAGCTCATATATTGGATACGGAGTTACTTATCAAACCAAAGATCTAAAATCAAGCTGTGTAAAGGGATCGGTCCAGAATTTGAAGTCAGAATAAGTACTCCACAGGGATCACCACTGTCACCAATACTCTACCTTTTCTTCAACGCGGATTTACTCAAAATAGGAATTGGAGGCGCGCTTATTACAGTCTACGTTCACTCTATAGCTATCATGATTGAAGGAGGCAACACAGCATCTAACAATAGCGTCCTCACAACCATCTATCAAACAGCAGCGAGGCATGCGGCGAGGAGTGCACAACTGCACGCCTCAGTGTTTGCACCCCAAAAATATGAACTTAAACACTTCATACATACACTGCCAAGACGCAAAAGATTCAAGGACAAAATGCTAGGTCTCACAATAAAAGCCAAAAGCCGATCTAAGTAGTGGAAGCAAAGCAAAATGCTTATTACCTAATGATTTAACTAAAATCTAAGCTCGAGGAAATAACTCATCTACATAAGGGCAATGGCACGGCTACTAAATCAATTAAGACCCTATCCACAATCCCAGAATCTATATGAGGAGCGACACGACAGCAGATTATAAAGCTCTTCAAGCAGTGGTCATTTCAGGAATGCTATGTGCATGTTCCACGTGGTATACACTATCAAAAGATTGTGGATGTAAGACTCAGAAGAAGCAGGCTGAGAAAGCACTGACCCAGCTACAGAAGAAATCACACTGTGTTGCCACAGGAGCATTTCAGACTACTGTACAGCGCTATTAGTGTTGGAAATAGAGACGCATACCTTATCAGTACCATTACAACTGCTTCGGGGTCCGATGAACACGACCCTCAGGATCAAAGCAACCCCTAAATTCTGGCACATCCAGCAGTATAGAGGTGTAGGTTATGATATATGCAAAGCCCGACTCTTCCCACACTAGAGAAATAGCTGAAAATTAATTATATCAAACAAAGCAAATGTCTTCTTATTTAATCTTAATTATAAATGCAAAACTTTTCATCGAGCTCCTCTTTATTGCCCAGTGGCCTAAATCTTCTGGAAAAGTCTCTCTAGCAGTGGCAAACTCTCACGAAGCAGATTTGGGTCACCTAACGTAATCCTCACATATCCCTTGAAATCATCTGAACTCCCTTCGCTAAAGCAGGCACCAGGAATCACGCAAACGCTCTCCTCGTCGCTAAGCCTTTTACCAAATTCCATGTCATCCACCGGCTTCCTATCTCGATCGAGAATCTGCACAAACGCTGTTCCCGCTCCCCGTGGCGTAACCCAGTGGCATTGCTTCGCATTACGCTTCACAAACTCGTCAAGAATCGCAATACTCTCTTTGCAGAGCGCAAGATTGCGCTTCATCAGATTCGGCAATACAGCCGGGTCGAGAGCAAAAGCTGCTACGCTATCATCGAGCTGGGATACGCTAATTGTCGTATAGTCCCTCGCCTTGCTCACCTTGTGCATGAGCTCCGTATTCTGTGTTACTATCCAGCCGAGTCGAATGCCGGGAATAGCGAACGCCTTAGAGAGAGATCCAGTTGCGACACTGTTGGCATATCCGATAGAAACAAACGAAGGCGGGGCGGGCTCAGTGAAGTACATGGGGCTGAAAACCTCATCGGAGAAAACGAGAATATTGTACCTGCGGGCAATTTCGGCGATTTTCAGAAGAAATCCAATTGGCAGGACGGCTCCAGTAGGATTATTTGGGTTACTGTCCAAGGTCAGCCTAACATGCTCCAAAAAACTTTAGACGATATGTGATAGCAATCTTACTTGAGAATAATAGCCTTGGTGTTTGGTTTAATCATGGCAGCAAGCTCATCAATGCTCGGCATCCAGCCGTTCTCATGCATTTTCCACAATCCCACGTCAACACCTGCGAACTTTGGCACGAGATACAACTGCCCATATGTGGGGTATTGGCAGATGACATGGTCCCCTGGGCCGCAGATCGTGCTGAGGAGAAGGTAATTGGCCATGATGGAGCCTGGCGTGATCAGGACATTTTCGGCCGTCAGCTTGTTGTTTTCAGACGAGTGCAGCTCAGCGATGCGCTCGCGGAGCCTGAGTGAGCCTTCGTAAGACCCGTACGTGAGTTTGAGTTCCGGGTCAAAGACTTCGAGACCTGGATTTGTAGAGAGCCTCTTTAGGTCATTTACGGATAGGGCAGATGCGTATGAGCCTGGCTGATTATTAGTTGGGTGTTGGCGAAATTTAACTTGTAATCTAGGTCTCACCTTGAAGCTCATAGCGGCTTTTTGGCTGTAATAAAACTGGTCAGTTTCTTTTATCTACAATAGAAGTATACTTCACAGCGAGACTGACGCCATAGGTTCGCACTATTAGACCGCTGTTAGCATTACACATAAGTAGATAATAAACACGGCTCGAGTGGTTTGCTTACTCCAGTGGTCAATCTGAAACTCTTGTATGTTCATCATATTGATAGAGATATATTATATTCATTCGCATTGAAATTTCACGGACGAATATCACCTCGAGTATAAAAGGTAGAGATAACAGAAGCCTATAAGTATGAAGTGTTACAATGCGCTAAAACCAGACAGCTTTAGCTTCTGGCACTACACACGCCTTTATCTTGACATAGGTAGTCGTTGTGCAATACTCCGTTGTTATCCTTGATTTGCCGAATTAGAGGTAAGAGGCCACGGAAATCTTGGGTATTTGCTCAGTAAGCCGATATTGGCCGAGTAGACCCGGCGCATTTGGACGAGAAGATGCGCAAAATTCCGCCAAAACTGAATGCTCCGGGCACTTCCTAGTAAGCACTTCGCCGACCCGTGTCGGGCACATAAGTGGGAACCGAAATCGGCTTCACACCTTGAACTCAATGAATTTGACGATCGACGATGGTGAGTTAAGCAGGTGTGGGTCGGCAGCGGCAAAGGGATACGCCTGCCGTTATACTCTTTCTAAACGCACACTTTGGGGATCAGGGCGCAGTGGGATAACAGAACTGTCATTTCAAGTAAGCATGGGGGAATGGAAAAGTTGATTCGTTTTTCTTCTATTTTACAAGTCAAGGAACACGGGTTCCTCAAAAATGCCAAGGCTCCTGTTTCTCCACCATCAAGCTACCAGCACTCTCACAGCTCATCCTATGGCCAACCTGGGTCTGCTTCCATCCACTGGGCCCGGCTACAGGCGATTCAGTGCTCCCGGACTCGTCACAGCTATCGCTTCCAGTCTGAGTTCCCCTTTTGCTCGAATTAATTGTGGACTGCGAGCGACGGAGGATTTTCGCCTTCAACCATGAACCAGGCGAAACAGCCTGAGGAGCAGGAAGCGGCGTTGAAGATTCCCCACGCACTCCTCTATCATTGTGCGAAATACGCGGGTAGTGGAATTTCACCCATCCAGGCACGGACACGAAGGAGCGGGTTTCACTTTCCACCGACGCCAGGGTCGTTTGACTGTTCCTGTAACACCATGAGCGGTTGAAGGCGGGAGGTAAGACTTGGATTGGGAAAGCTTGTGGTCGAAGAAATTCATCCGGCTCGCTCTGTACAAGGTCTCTCGAAACAGATATGGCTGGAGGTCGAGGAGGCGAGAGCACAGCTGGCAGAGGCGGAAGCGAAGGGGGAGATTCTACGTCAATAACACTTTGGGCGGCCGAGGCAGTTGAGCGTCGGCGGAAGAATGAGACGAACGAGTTCCGGCTGGGAGTGCCTTCTCCTGGTGTATGAGGCGTGACGGGATTCTGCCTGAGGGGATTGAACCGAACGAGTCTTCTCAAAGATCTGGGGAGCGACCGCCTCGATTTCTCGGTTACAGTTGGCCGCGCAAAGGTTGACCTATAATCCCAACCTACACTACCTCTTAAGCCAGCTTCTGGTGTCAACAGAGCATCGGAGATCTCTGGAGGCCTTTGGTTTCGAGTCCGCCAACGGGAATTTGAACCTGGGGTCAGCCGACGCCGTGCAAGACATGGCAGAGCTTTTGATATCTCTCCCCTGTATCGCCTGAAGAGGAGAAGTATAAGTGCCAACATAATTCCAAAACCAGCTGCTTGATCATTAGCCTTCGATGTTGGATAGTTAGAGTAGAATACAGATTTGAACATACCAATAGTTCCAACGGCAATACCAACTTTTTGCCCTGGCGCTGCAGCTTTATGTCCAGACGGAGCAATGTTACTCGGGGCGTAGCAAACCTGTCCAGTTTGCTGAGCAGTCGCACTGCTAGCACTTGTCTGCAGTGTTGTCTCCACTGAGAACAAAGTAGTTGACAGAGTTGACGACTCGGATAACAAACAGGTGACACTACTAGGGGCACCTTGGCTGCTGATACTAATATGAGATGTTGTCGATGACTCCGTAGTCTGTGTAAAGGAGACATAGAATGTCTTGGAACTTGTCGACAGAGTGAAGATAATAGATGTGATACTGGGAGGAGAAGACGTGGGAGGAGAGCTTGTTGGTGTTGAACTCGTCTGGAAAGAGAGCGGAGCGGTTGATGAAGGAGTAGAGGAAGGCGGAGGCGGCGAGGGAGAAGGAGTGTTTGATGATGAAGATGTTGATGATGACGAGGGCGATGAAGGTGTTGATGTTGATGACGATGTCCCTGGGAAAGTAGTTTGGCTGGCTGGTGGTACTGGCGCTACCGTGGCAGGCACTTTACTTGGAGGTCCTTTCTGATTCCCTGCAGGTCCGGGAGGCCCATTCTTATTGTTTTGCAGACCTGGTGGACTTCTGCCTCCCCCATTGTCTCGAGCAGCAAGCGCCTCTCCTAAATTTTGGCCGCTTGGAAACACCATTCTATCGTAATCCCTAGACTTGCGATCAATGGGATCCTGTTAAGCCTCAGATAAGTAAAACTTACCAGTCAACCTTTAGTAAGCCGACCAATTGTCGTTAGGTTCAGCCATCAAGAATAGACGATGAAGAGATGACCCGTGGGATATCTTTGGAAATAACGGAAAATATAATAATTTCGAAGTGTGCAAATCAATTGTTACTGCAGAAGAAAGAAAGAGCGGAAAGAAAGCGCCAAAATGGGTAAATGCCACACCAGGTGTACAAGAAACGAAAGGTTCAACTAGGAGAAAAGCAATGAACACGAGGCGAAGGTTGGCAACAGATCGTAGGTTTATATCCACAACGGTACACCCTGAGAGCCTGGTCCAACGTGTAAAGAAGCAAAGAGACAGCCACGATTCCATTAATGTGTCAGACAGACCGCAAGTGGCACTCCGGGCACACCTTTTTCCCAGGTTTTCTGCCGCCAGAGGATTGTGGAGGGTGCGGGCCATGCTCTAAACTACGGGCTGTCAACTTCGAGTTCGTCCCACGGGGAACCAATAGATAAGGACGAGTGCCATCTTATCATGGCAGCGGCTTTGAAAGGAAACGGGACGAGTGTTTCAAACGGTGGTGTTTGTGATCCGCGCGCGGGAATTCTATATCTAGTTCGAGAGCGAGGTTGTGGCTGAGGCCTGAAACGGACGGGTGTCTGGGGCTACTGGAACTTCCAAAACCCGGTGACAGGAACAATCATCGAGCGATCCGGGGCTTCAAGCAGCAACTATTGGTTAATTCTGAGACTTCAAAATGATCAACTCGAGTTTGACGGGCCTTCCCAGCGCACCTGTTCCAATTTTGATAGGGAAGGAGCCAAGAAACATGGGCGACGGGTGCTGAGTGATCGTTCGATCACCAAGAAACATCAAAGATCATTTATTAATCGCACAGGCTCTCTGCATGTCTCGATTTTTGTGGGTCTCCTAGCTGCAATACCCAAGAGGCTCAATGATTACTATTTCTGATGTAAAATGCTGCGGTATTTGGTGTGCCTTCATGGTGTGTTTTCGTTTGTTGTTGGGTTCCACCCGTGTCTCACGTGAGCAGCGCCGCCTTTGCTCAGGTTCGGCTCATGCCTGGCCTATTTTCGGCTCAGGTCTGCTCACCCTATTGATACATCTCATCAGAAATCGTCAACTTTAACCAGGGGCCTAAAAAGACGCCCATCGCCCAGCCAGAGGTCTGTATTCTGTCACTACTGTACATCCCTAGATAGCTAGCCCCGTCTGCTTCATTCGGAGTGCGGAAATGCCCGCGTACAGTGACGTTTTCTGCATCTTACTTCAGCGTGTTTTACGCCCCCCTATGTCCCTTGCCAAGGGCTTTATACTTTGTGTATAGCCGGCCGTTCTCCTCTTGCTTTCGCATCTTTCCCTCTTATCTTTCTCACTCATCTTCCACTTTATTCCCACCCTTCTATCCCGCACTCTTCGACTTTTGGGCTTGTTTGGTTGCTTCTTGCCCGATTTCTTTTCGTCCGAACCTCCCACATGTGCGATGTCAAGACGGCTTTTAAGGAAGATCTCCGATACGCTGTCCGCTGGATGATCTTTATTAACGCCTTAGGTCTCGGTGCTATCCTTGTCTGCGGCGAGGCCATTGCGAAACTCGTGTGCGCAAGCCCTGCAGTGACTGTCTCTCTTTGCTGACTCTGCATAGGTATAAGACCTCGGGGAACAACAAGAATGACCTCGGCTGGCTCGCCACCAAAATCTGGCAGTGTCGCACAATCGATTTCGGGGCCCTCTGTGGCATCTACTATAGTAAACCGCCACGAGTAAGACATATCACAACAGGAGCGATCACAACCTTTGATTTCTTATTCATTAGTATAGTAGCTTTGCATTTAAATTTCACGCAATTCTAACATGTTTCTTGACTTTGGTTACTGCCTCATCCGTGATATCATTCGTTTAGACTTTGGTCTCGCCGTACCATTTGCTATTAGTAAACCGCCCATGCCCAAAATTTGACTATACCAGAGTTTCCTCGTCACCTCCTAGATCTGTTTTTGCAGACATAGTATAGTAAAGGTTCGCTGTCTTGCACGATTCAAACGAAGAAGGCTGCGAGTAAGAAAAAGGCAACCATTATTATAAACGAAGCAGATTCCATTCAAGCAGATTCCCATGCAGGCACTAAAAATAACTAAGGTTCGGCCCTGACGGATGCCGACTGCACATCAGCCAATCTGCTTACCCAGAGGGCCAATTGCTTTGTCAATCTTATCCGCTTCTTGCTTGGCTCACTTAACGCAGCTGTTTTCACACCGTCGTCCGTACCTTTTAAGTTGTAAACCATCTAAGAATGGAGATACGCTTTTGATTAACATTGCGGACTCTCCGCTCCATCCGCTCCATCCCCTGCTGGAGTACCTGAACTTGTGGCTGGAGCTGCTGGAGTGCCTGAACTTGTGGCCGGAGCTGCTGGAGTGCTTGAACTTGTGGCTGGAGCTGCTGGACATCCGCCTGGAGTTGCTGGACCTCTACTGGTGCATCAATTGCCAATATCCTATGCCTTAGGTCTTATAACATACCTGGCGGAACTACCACGGGCTGCTTCGGGCGCAGCGTGATAATCATGCCATCTTGCACAACCGCATCCCAAAGTAGCGGAAGGATAACGTTGCCGTTAGGGTCGACCAGATCATAATCGTTTGTAACCACTTGTGGATTGGGGCGAGGATCCATTTGCTGGATGATGTTGCTCATTTCCTGAAAGTCGCGTGTAAAAGTCCGACTTGTATCACACGAATACCAGAAAAGAACTCACGTTCCATGTCCTGCACCGATCTAATGGGACCAAGAAGCTTGTGTCCTGAGCATTTACAAGTCTGATCATCTGAAGATGGTGTCGATGAGGTAAATATGTATGCAAGATAGATGCTAGCTTCAAGTACTGCTAACGTTTCTCCCTTTGTCAGGACTTCCGCCAAGGTATAATGCGCTTGTCGACATGAGACGTTTGTAACAGCTGAACAATTTGATTTTGCTATAGTGTTTAGACGTTAGGTAGCTATGTTAAAAGGTGACAGTAATCTTGTTCGCCGCCTCCAGGTGCTAGTCTATTAACGCTATAAGGACAAGTTAGAGGCTCGGGTTTGACCCTAGATTAAGTTCCCGCTTCCCTAGCTGCAGGACAGAGGTTGCAACTCATGTCGAGGCAGTAAATTCGAGAGCAACTAGCCAATCATTTCCCTAAGCTCTCACGGTTTGGCCGTCTCGCTACCTAGGTGTTGATGTGCAATTGTCAAACTAGCCTAGTGTGAATACGTGGCATACGTTCTTGCGATAGCGGGGTAACTCGTTGGACTTGTCGTCCGTATCGAAAGGAGGTCTCGAAACGTCTGATAAATAGACGTAGCATCTAGTCGCATCCTGGTACCAGCGAAACATGGAGTTGATAGCCTCTGCGAGCTCGGTGTTATTCGATTTGTCGATACAACAGGTGTCTACCCAAAAATATTGTAAGCCGTCACGCCTCGCTTGTTCTCCGCAGAACCGTATCTTGCCATAGCCAGCCTTCCTCTTGCCCGTGCCATCTATCACGTCTTTGAAGGTGACCTCCTCCGCTCCCCATCTGTGCGAAAGTATAGCATACTCGGGAATATCGTCGTCAAAGAACTCGGCTAGGCTGAACTCGCCATCGTTGTTATATGCTAGTAGACGCATTATTCGGCCAGATTCGAAGATCGCAAGGGAAGGGGTTCTCGTTTAGTATTGAGCCATCGAGTCGGCATGTATGCGAAGTTGTTTGTCGAGTTGGGAGAAGACGTTGGATTGAGGCTGGCGCACTCAGCTGAACGGCAGCCTCGCGGTAATGGCATCGTTATGCGTCACTGTAAGCGCGCAAGACCTGCCAATCGCAGGGGGTCACCGCGGGAATGCATAGCTGGCTCTCTAGGATATTCGAAATTTGCGCTCGATTGAGTCATGATTTGTTTAATTATTTGTTTTGTGCTAAATGCTAAACAGATGCTTGGAAGAGATCTTTGGGATTAATTGTTCCGGCGCCTTGATCATGAGCAGTCCATGCCATCATATTGAAAAGTTGAATGATTGTCAAAACTGGGCCGTCGGCTGTCACGTCGTACGCCACAACCTTAGGTTGACGCTCGTCGTCCATAGATACATCATAATAGTCAAAGATGATATCTACTCGATCTTGCCTTTTCTCATCCCAGAGCTTTGTAATTAAACGGCGAATGTTCGTTATATCCGTAATATGCAGTTCTGTACAGACTTTTTCAATTAACTGCATATCGGCCTGGTCAAGAGAAGGATGGATCTTCGCAAGTTCGTCTGGGCGAGTACGGAGAAGAACTTGTACTAGAGGCTTAATTAAAGATAGACCCATGGTTAAAGGGATCTCGTATAAACTCGGCGAGTCGGTATTGTTATAGTACCTGAGTCTTGAATTAGTAACCACTATAGTCCTGTTTTGCAGACATAAAAAGGACCTTAAATAGAGAAAGCGCCTTGAGGGAGGAATACGCCGGGAAGTAAGCTACAGACAAGGGGAGGAGAACTGCAAATAATGTCCGTAATATGCGGGTATAGATATAGGTTTATACGGTACCACATGCTTTGTAATACTATAGCAGGGGTAAGCCGCCCTCCGCAGAATCACATAATCATTGGTTATCGCGTAAGTACATAAATGAGCTTTTCTATTTTGGGCAAGCGTAATCTTATATGGTAACCAAGTTTGAGCCCTCTAGTCTAAAAATAGTCTCAGGGCCGTCATGTAATGGCCGCTGTCTTCCCTCAGGCAACAAAATTCGTTCTGGAATGTTCTTTCTTTATTGACTTTCGCAAAAGGGGCTAGTTGAAAATGAATCCTGCCTAAGGGATTAATCGCACGTTCTGACAGCTCGATCGATTCCACTAGATTCTGGCTCCCTGATTATATCACCTACTTTATACTTTCCCCAGATACTATATTATATTAATATAATAAGCCTACAAGTCATCCGACAGGTCGTTAGTAGCACTATACAGAGCCAAGTATTTCGAATCAGTATTACAAATGTCCCCGCCATTATTCTCAGATGGATTACGACCTACCCCAGACAAATCGTTTTGCTTATTACTAATAGTATTCTAATCTTTATACTAGCTGCTCTTACGGGCCCACTACTCGTAATAATAGGCTTTGGGGCTTCAGGCCCTATTACTAGTAAGTGATTATAGTTGCAGTTTACGGAAGGATCAAGACGGATTTTTTAAATTATATCAGGCTCTATTACAGCTTGGCTTTAATTAATACTAGGAAATATCGGGACATATAGTATATTTGCATATTTATAAAATATAATAATAGAAAGATATAGGGTTACTGCTATTAATAGAATAGTACAGGCTTGTATTATGATTTCGGAGGTTGCTATTACATATTCTGGCCTAATAAGACATAAGCAAGACATAGTACTATATAGACTAAGAAATAATTAAGGGTGTTTTTACTGCAATTAGTAGCCTCCTTAATAAGCTCGGTAGACCTGGGCCTTATTTAAGTAAGAGATATCTCTCAAGACTAATTAATTATATAGTTCGAAAGAATATTAGAATTCCTTATTTCAATAATTTCTTTCTTTCTTATTTACTAATATATAATAAATGCAGAGTTACTATCTATAGATAATACTTTAATATTTTATAATAATATAGTCTATAAACTCTTTCTTGATTTATTAGATATAAATATCGAATTTTCAAATACCTTAGTATTTATAATAAGACTATTAAGTCCGAAAGAGAAATATAATTCCCTTAGTAAAACGGCTTATAGGAATCTACTAAGTAAAGCTATAGAGGCTTTATAATATCAAGTTATAAATATAACTAAAAAGTTATATACTAAATAGGGTCCAGATTTATTAAAAGCCTTTCTTTCTATTATTACTATTCTATTTATATTACTAATCGAGGATTTCGCCTGCCTTTATACTAGTATTTATTATATTTTAATTTCTTTTTATTCCGATACTTCTCTTACTAGTAATATAAGACCTGGATTTTCTTTAATAAACTTAACTAAAAAATAAAAAAAAGACTTTATAACTAGTTAAAAAAATATAGATTTAAGAGAAGCTTAAGAAATTTATTATAAATACTAGAGCTACTTTTATTTAGCTTATTAATAATTATTAGATATAATTTATTAGTAATATAAAAATATAAAATACTTTCTATTTTAAATAATTATATTAAAATAGTAATTTAAAAAGATATATAAACTTAATATTACTAGATACGGAAAGTAGTCTAGTTCTAATTTTAGTAGCCTATTAAAAATAGCTTATTAAAAAATTAGAAAAAGGCCAGATAAGTTCTTTAAAGAATTAGATTTCTTTAGTAACTATAATCTTAATTTACTAATTTATATTATACTAGTTATTATATCTTTTTTATATTAAAATAATAATAGTTTCGGTTTCTAATATAGCTATTCTTATATAGCTAAGCTTATTAGTAATCTCTAAAAAGTCAAGCTATAGCTTAGAATTAGGCTCTTAGATAATTTTATTAAAATAGCCGACTTCTGAAATAGATTATAATTATTTAAATATAATTCCAAGAAAATCCCCTGGTTATATAGAAATAACTAAATATAGAACTATAATTATTCTTAAGGCAAAAGTTCTATTAAGCTTTTGCTTTTCATTTAATAAGCTTTTATAAGATATAAGATATATATAAATAGTATTATTATATTCTAATAGATTATTAATATTATTTTAAAATATATTTATAATATTTTATAATAATAGCTCTTTTAGCTATAATATATTAAACCTTATTAAATATAACTATTCTTTTTTATTATTTAGTATTTATATTTCATTTATTTAGTTAACTAAGAGACTTTTTAATATCTTTTTAATAATTTTCTAATATAAATTAATATTACTAGATAAGTTATTAGCTTATTTAATAAATACTTTTATTTATATTTCCTTTATATAAAAATAATATACTTAATTTTACTTTTTTACTATTTATAGTAAGTTCTTAATTTTATTAAAAAAATATTTATTAAATTCTCTTATTTAGAAAACAAGAATATATAATAAATTATTTTTTAATATATAAGTTTTAATATATTTTATTCTAGTATAATTACTTGCTATATATATATTATATAAGAACTTCTAAAAATAATAATATTTCCGGTAATTCTTTATATTTCTATCTTTTAAAATAATATTAATAAGTTTCTTTATAGCCTTTACCTTTATTTAACTAGTATTAGTAAATAATCTAGAATTATTTCTATATTATACTCGAGTATTAGCCTTTACTAACCTTATAATATAGTTATATTAAAAAGTCTTTTTCTATAAATTAATTATTTAGAAACTTTTAAAACCTACTTATTTCTTTTTTAATTTTTATTTAATTCTATTTTATCTAATAATATCTAAATAAACTATTATATTTATAAAAGGCTTTATAATTATATTTATATTCTTAAATACTTTTATAACTAGATAATCTTTATTCTAGAAATTAGTTATCTTTTTATAATACTTTATATATATTTATAATATATCTAATATAATTAGTATAATATTTTTTTCTAAATATAGTACTTTTATTTCTTTAGAAACCATTATATATTTTATTTATAAAAATATAATTAAAAGTAATTTTATTATAAAATTATATAAAAATAGTAATAGACTAATATTACTAATACTAGCTAATGTAATATATTAAGTAAATTTTATTAATATTTATAAATATATTTATTAGCCTTTAAACTAAATATAATATTAGTAGAATTAGCTATATTTATTAAATTCTTATAAGTAATAAGAAAGCAGACTTAATTAAAGCCTTTATATTATATATTTATCTCGAATAATAAATCTATAATAAAGAAATTAAATAGTTCTATTATAGCTTTTAATAAAATAGTTAGCTTATTAATAAAAAATAATAAAATAAATGCTTTTATAAATTAGAAATATTTTTAAAGCTAGTAATATATATTATAAATTCTTTTTTTTTATAAGAACTAAGCTTCTAGTTACTAGATTATTATTAATAATAGCTATATTATTATTTAGCTATAAGAAATACTTTTTATATATAATAGATTCAAGAATTAAAGAAACTTTTTCTGGATTAGAAAGGCTTTAAAATATAATAGTATTCTAATTAAAATTATTAGAAAGTCTAAATAAATCGATTTCTTATAAGAATTAATAAGATTAGTATTATTATATTAAAAAACCTTTTTTGAATCTATTTAAGCTTTATATTATTATTCTTATATAATTCCTTAGCTAAGAATATTTCTTAGATTATTTAGGAATTTGAAATAATATATTTATTATAATTCCCAGATGCCCGGTATCTGAGATGTCTCGCCAGATGCCAGATACCTCCTAGGTATATATAATACGGCCGCCTTACTAGGGAAATATGCTTGGAATGTACTAGAGATATTTAGAAGGCTAGCCTCTTCGGGACTAGTATACTATAGGGTATATATACTCCCTCGCAGCTTCCTGTATTCTAGTTTTCCCTTTCTTAGCTTTAAATTATCTTTATAAGAGACCTTCTATCTTGCTTTCTAAGCCCTGAATACTATATCCGTAATAGTATTCAAAGCTCACTTCCTTTAATCCTATAGAGGATTTTAAATAAACCAATTCAGAACT